ACTTATCACTCGCTACACACAGCCACAGTTTGCACCACACCAATCACAGAAGTAGCCTCGCTGGTGCTTCTCTGACTCCCCACACAGCCAACTACTCAGCAGCTGAGTGGGGAGGCTTATCATCCTGCCTTCTTGTCGGAGTGGTCAGCTGTACTGGGAGGCAGTGATATGAATATGAAAAAAAAGGTAAAGGTTCCCCTTGACAATTTTTGTCCAGTCGTGTTCGACTCTAGGGGGCGGTGCTCATCCCCGTTTCCAAGCCATAGAGCCAGCGTTTTGTCCGAAGACAATCTTCCGTGGTCACATGGCCAGTGCGACTTAGACACGGAACGCTGTTACCTTCCCACTGAGGTGGTCCCTATTGATCTACTTGCATTTGCATGCTTTCGAACCACTAGGTTGGCGGGAGCTGGGACAAGCGACGGGAGCTCACTCCATCGCGTGGATTCGATTTGGAAACACAAAGAATATTCTCTTCTGTCAAAGGTTTCAATATATCTGACTTTTTTATATTACCACAAATCTATGTAATAGCAACTTTAGACACTACCATAGTCAAAGAGTCTAATTTGCACCAATATTTGATACATCTTCAGTATAAAACTGCACTTTAAACTATAAAAAGCCCACAGATCTTTAAAGATTCCATGACAGTAAACATATGCTTACCAATAGAATACATCTCTAACTGCTGTCGTAAACGAACTTTTTTCACACTGTCATAAAAGTTTGGTTCAGATGGTATTTCAACAGTTGGAGGTAGTGTAAAAATTCTCATGATCTTCCTTTTATTTCTGAAATTCAAAAGTGAGAACAAAGATAAATAATACAGAAATGGATATAATGCCCCTCTTTTTTAATAACTGGAGGCATCAGTGAAAGAGAGCTCAAACAATACCACAGTGGAACTGGACCTTGTTGTTGTTGCTGCTGCTAAAAGAGGGCCCAGGCTAGATCTTAAAACTAGCACATGATCCCATGTGAGCAGACTTCAGAAATTGCACTAGACATATTGAAAAAACAAGGGAGCAGAGTCACATAAACTAAATCCACCTTCAGCATCACACCAGCACTTCCTCCAGACATTCACACATTGGGTGGAAAATGTGAAGGGGAATCTACACACTTGCAGCTGAACCCAGTTAAGCTTCTCTGTGTAACTGAAGCTCTTGATTACACAGAGGCTCAGCAACTGCTGTCAGGTTGTGTGCAAGTAGGCTAGCTTGCTCCTTGCTGCCTTTCCACGATTAGGTGAAGAGTGAAGTCCTTAAATACATGAATAGCTGCTGAGAAAGTTTCTTTTAGCAGTGTGTGCTGTACTTACTTTCTTCTGGTACTTTTAAATGTCTTTTTTGTTGTTTGACTTTGATGCTTGTCTTTAATATAAAAATTAAGTTTTAATACTGTACCTTAATTGTACTTTCCCTGTATTTGTTTTTAATTCATGTTCAAAACTGCACTTTAAGCTCAACATGTATCGGTTCAATCTTCAACCTTGCACCCGCCTTGCTGATGTCTGGGAGTGGATCCCATATTAGAGGGCAGGGCCAGTGCATGTACTTCCTATGTCTGCTAACATATGGAGCCTAATTTCCTTAAAAGGTTTAAATGTGTTACATGCATGACAAACACATGTAAGAAATGCATGATAAAATGCTGTATGCTGATTCAGTTACAACAAAGCCCAGAATGTGCAATCTCTGCTTGCTTGGCCAGCACTGGAAGTAGCAATTGCTGCTTCTCAAACAGCCAATTCAAATGTCACCCTGATTCACAAGCAACACCCATTAGACTACCATACAGACAATATGGTGTGATAACAGGATAGCTTTATTGAAGGTTTTGTTCCTATATACAGCAAATGCAGCTGCTTATGATCCATTACTGTTAATAGATTTTGAAGCAGAGTTACAAACAAAATACTGAATTCTTAGACTCAGACACAACTATTAATTCCTCATCTGAGATAGCTCAGCAAAGCAACAATCCAAGGCTCCGCCAAAACAAACAAAAAACAATGGGAGCCATTACACTATAATTAACTTCTGAAAACCTTCTTCTTTGCTGGAAAGCCTCCTGAAGTTGAAACCTTGACAGCTCCCCAGTACTTTCTGCAGCAGCAAAATCAGCCCACCATAGAAAAGGTTACAAAATATAGTAAGGCCTTTAACTGTATAAACTGTAGACCGGACACTCCTCAAAAGTGCTTTTGCAAAGCAGGGATGGGAAACTTTTGTTTTTCCAGACGTTTTGGACTTCATCTCCCAGAAGCCCCAGCCACCGTTTCTAATATAAAGGGACCTGTGGAAGGAATAATCTAAAACAATGGTTCTTAACCTTGGGTTACTCAGGTGTTTTTGAACTGCAACTCCCAGAAACCCCAGCCAGCACAGCTGGTGGTGAAGGCTTCTGGGAGTTGCAGTCCAAAAACACCTGAGTAACCAAAGATCTAAAATACCTGAAAGATCCCTGTCTTGTTCTCTTGTGAAAGATTACATTGAAGATGGAGTCACAACCACCATCTCCCACCTTGCCCTGAAACCCGGACATTTCTAAACGGCGACTAAACACTACAGAACATCCATAGCTTATGTAGTATATGAATAAGAACTGCCACTCCTCCTCCTCCTCCTCCCTCTTTCTCTCTTTTTCACACCCAGATGCCACTGGTGGGTTTTCACTCCCGGCGGCTCCGAGCTGCCCACCTGCGCGCGTAGACCAGGAGGGCCAAGCTCGCCAAGATGGCCAGCAGGTAGACATTGGTGGCTTCATTCCAAGCTTCGTGCACGGAATAATCCATGGCAGCCGCCGCCCCGCCACCGCCACTTTCGCCCAGCGCTCGGGCTCCAGCCATGGGGAAAAAAACACAGTAAACCACCGATAGACGTCCCGGAACAGGAAACGGGAAAGGGAGGCGCAGACGTCACATCCTGCTCAGGCTTCCAGACAGGAAAAGAAGACTTTGACATCCTTGATAGAGTGGCACGCGGGTCCTACCTTCCGGGTTAATTTTGAATGTTCTTGATTCACGATTTGGGTTGTCGGGGGAAGAGAAAGCAAGTGCGGGGTTTTAGAATAATTGGGAAGGGGTTGTGTCAGTCATTCTCTCTGCTGCTCCCTTCTCTGAAGCAAGCAAAAAACTAGGTAGCAAAACAGGTTGTGCTCCGGATGGCAAAAATCATGTATGGGACAGTTGGGAACAAGATTTTACCATTTTAAAAACGTCGCATGTTACTGTATCATTAAGCTTTTGTCCACAAGACAGCCCAGAGTGTGATGTGCCATCAAGTCAGAGCTGATTTATAGCAACCCTAAGTGAGCTATTTAAGGAGTGGGTTTAACAGCTCCATCGCACCCGCCCAGTGAGTTTCCGTGGATTACTGGGGATTCGAACCCCATTCTCTTGAAACGTCGTCTGTTACTATCCGCTACAATACATCACATTCAGTATTGTTTCAGCATAGGTCAAATAAAGCAAATTATCTAGTGACACATAGTTAGACTGGTGTGATGGGAAAAAATCCTGGAAGTTCCATAAAAACCACATTCCACTAGAATTTCACTACCCATTCTGAGCAAAAATATCAAAAACAAAACATACTGTACTAGAGAAAAGAGTCAGGAGCGTCAGCTTCATGACAAGTGAATACATCGTCTGTAAAATGAGCTTCTGTGTACATTTCGTCTTCTTCCATCACTCTAGCCGTGTTTCATCAGGGAATTGGATTGGTTTCGCTTACTCAGAGGTTGCCATTCTGAGCTGTTTTCCAGACTATGGATATTTGGTCCAAAAAGATAATGGAATGTCAAGTATACAAATGTTGAAGTTTGCTGCATCACTTTTATTTATTCATGTATCATTGACAAATTCAATTTGTTTACCAGAGCACAGAGTGCTGTCCTCTGAAGATGCCGGCCACAGAGACTGGCGAAATGTTAGGAAGAACAACCTTCAGAACACGGCCAAAGAGCACGAAAAACCCAGAACAACCATTAGATCCCGGCCGTGAAAGCCTTCACGAATATATCAATTTGTTTAGTTTGGTCAGACATTGTTCTTGGCTCTTTTCCAGAATATAATTGATTTATTAAATTAAATTATTATTTTACTCTCCAGAGCAGTTTTTTTTCATTGTGTGAAAGTTCTGTGGTTTCTGCAGAACTTCCATTTTTTCTGCAATACCGGTTTTTGCCCCCCTAGAGTGACCAGATGAGGATTTTGTGAATATACTGTACGTGTGCGTATACCTATGTCGTTACTCATCAGAAGACATGTGTTCTTATCATGGCTGCTGTAATTATGTTTTAAAATACAGTATGCTGTCTGTCCTCCACTTTGATTTGAGATTGCCATTTTGCTAGGAGGATGGTTTGGAGATATAAGTTTAAGAAAGTTATCCCGGCTGTTGATCTATTTTCTTGATGGAATACCAATCCATCACTAAGAGAAAGAGCAGCTAAATAAGGGTTCAACTCTACTATGGAGAAAATACACTTCAATCTGCTGTAATTTGCACCTTTGGAAATCATCTATATATCTAGACAGACAGACATGGGGGGGGTATGTATAAAAGCAAATTGGAATCTGGATCATTCCTTTTTTTATTAAAAATTATTTAGAGAGCAATCTGCAGGAGATGGGAGGGAGAGGCAGAGAACTAGGTTTGCATTGAGCTCCTATAACAGAAGCTGCCTTAATAATGTGTTAATACATGCTGATTGGCAATTTCACATCTCTCACTCTCTCTCTCTCATTGTTCTCCTAAGTGCTCTCCAAAAGTCTGTTCCAGTGAAAGCTTAAAAAGAAGAAGAACCAGTTTGAAGACAAGAGCTGCTTTGTTGAGAGGAATTAACACCCCTGTGAGCACAGCTTTGCATTGGATCAGGCAATCACATTGGCAGAAAGTGGACAAAAGCAATGTCAGACTGATCACAACAATTTTAAACCACCCTTGCAGGCTGCTTGGATTTCTGCTTGGGGAGGTTTGCCAGGCAGGGCTGCTGCCAAGTCATCTCCATCTTATGGCAACCCTATGAATGAGTGAACTCCAGTGTGCCCTATCCTTAACAGGCCAGCTCAGCTCTTGCTAATTCAAGCTTTTGTGGTTCCTTGAAGGAATCAATCAATCTCATATTTGGTCTTCCTCTTTTCCTGCTGCCTTCAGTTTTTATTGGTATTATTGTCCTTCCCAGCTAATCTTGCCTTTTCATAAAGTGCCCAAAGTATGTATTGTGCTGTCAAGTTAATTCTGACTTGTGGTGAACCTTTCCAGGGTTTTCCAGGTAGACAAAACTCAGAAATGACTTACCATTCCCTTCTTCTGGGGTAGGGGTGGGGGCAGCCTGGGATTTTGCAGTTTACCCAAGGCCACACAGGCTGGATTTTCTCAGAGGAGGTACAGTAGGGAAGTTAACACCCAACCTCTGGCTTAGCAGCCAGAAATCTAATTCATGAGCTATTCAGCTGCCTAAATAATTGTGTGCCACCAAGTCAATTCTGACATATAGCAACCTTTTTCAAGGTTTTCTAGGGAGAGTATTCGGAAGTGATTTACTATTCAGTTCTTCTGGGGGCATCCTGGGACTGTGCAGCTTGCCCAAGGTCACACAGGCTGGCTCTTCTGAGATGTACAATGAGGAATTGAAGTCCCAGCTAGGAGGTATCCAGCCAGCAAAGTACATATAATCCCTGTATTTTCCTCATGTAAATGAAAAGATCCTAGAAAAGGCTAGAAGTCTACTTGAAAGGGTTAATTAAAGGAAATTGCCTTTCTGCAAAGGGCTGGCTTTTAAGTGAGCAGTTTCCTGGTTAAAAACCTCTAAAGAATTCATATTGATGTGTTGAACCTGTTGTCTGTTATGAATTCACCAGCCACCAACCTCCATTCCTCATTAAGTATTCTGAAAACAAACTTCAGTTTTATTTCTCAAATCTTACTTAGTTTACACTGATAACCGGATCCCAGGGAATAAGTGATTTAAAGGAGCCCTATAAATACGAATAGCTGGGAGGATAGCTTAGTGGTTTAGGTATCTGGCTGTGGATCCCAGGGAATAAGCGATTTAAAGGAGCCCTATAAATATGAATAGCTGGCAGGATAGCGTAGTGGTTTAGGTATCTGGCTGCAGAGCCAGATGTTAGGAGTTCAGTTCCCCACTGTTGGTCCTCTGAGAAAAGCCAGCTTGTGTGGTCTTGAGCAAGCTGCTCAGTCCCGGGGTGTTCCCAAAAGAAGGCAAAGGTAAACTACTTCTGAGGATTCTGCACCTGGGGAACCCTGGAAAGGGTCACTATAAATCAGCATTGACTTGACAGCACATCATTATTTATTGATTATAAATATGAAATATCTCCACCTCTGGTTTTAATGTTATGCTACCAACATTATTCCAGCCAATCATCATCATCATCATCATCATCATCATCATCATCATCATCATCATTATTGAATCAATTTTGTAAAACTGAATAACACAGGATGTGTGCAAAGTTTTGATCATGCCTCACCTCTTTAATGTCACCAGTCTCCTATCCTCAGAGCAGCAGTGCCACAAATTATTCTCCATGTCTGATTTTCTTTCAAAAATTACTTCTTTTCTCCCAGTGGGACTTCAAAACTGGAAATAATCCCTGGGATTTGTGGGGCAATCCTGAAGAAGCTGTTTAGAAGGTTTGTGGATGGGGTGGCAAGGATTCCACTGGGTAAGGCAGTATGAGGCATCTCTCCTCCCCCTCCAACCACAAGCCATCACTGCAGGGGGACCTTTGCTGTTCCTTTTGGGTGTTTTTCCCATCCGCCATGGGCAGATGGGCAGGAATGAGAGAGGACCGGAGTTTGTTTCTCATTCCCTATGCAAAACAACAACTCTGAACAATAACCCTTTGGGATCAACTGTGGATTAATCTTATGATGTGCTGGTATGAATTAATAACTACACATTATATGTAATTATACTTAACTAGCCCATAATAGTAGGTAGTTAAGTGTGTTGCATAATCTACTGAAAGGCTTGGAAAACAGTAATCAAGCAAAAATTCTAAACAAGTGAATTAAACACTGGCGCTCATGACTTCTCAGAGGTTTTAAACTGGAATGTTCTCAGGGATAGATTTACAAGAGCATGGCAGTCATCTTCAGTTGCCATGCCTACATTTTTGCACCACGGCAGTTTGAAGTGATGCTCCCTGAAAAAGACATCTGCATCCTCCAAGGGCATAACCACACAGTGGACTTAACTTGGTTTACCAATACTGTATTTCTTCCTTCCCATGGTACCTTGACAGCGCAGGAAAGTCCAGCACTCAACAATTCTCCACACTACAGTTTCCAAGATGTTTTTGGAAAAGTCATTGTAACTGTTATAGCCAATATAATTTCATAGTAAAGTAAACATTGGCACATTGCTGATGTTGAGTTATTGGAGTTCAGCATAATACGGAAGGAGGAAGAAGAACTTAATGTTAGGGTTTTTGCAGTCTCACATGCTGCCTTTAGTAGGTGTGGCTGGGAGGGACCTTTCTGGACTGAGGTGACTGTTAATGTGCCTGACACTAGCCAATCGTTCTTTTCTGGCTCTGAATTCAAAGAGAAACTCACTTCTCTGCTTAGTGTTTGCCCTCTATTGTCTGTTGGAAGCAGCGAGTCTGTTGAGGTCCATTTGCTGAAAGCAATCATGGTTATAAGTTTGCAGTCAGATCTGTTCACGAATGTAAATAAAGAAAAAGGTTTTCATTCTTTCTACCAGTAATGTCTTAGAGTGAGTTACAGAGACTGTTAAGTGCCAGTTAAATAGAAAAGGTACGGACTACTCTGGGAAACTTGAAGCTATTCTGCTCTATGAATCCCTGCACTTCTGCTGTGCAGCTAGAGGAATTTAACCAAAAATTCAAAACTCTGCAACATGTAATACATACAAATTGATCATAAGTACCAT